CAGTCCAACCACTTTCGGTAGCTAGCTTTGTTTGCTAGCTGCACGGTGGTTTCTAGGATTAGCAGGTTTCTAATAAACCTCACACTGCAGCTGGATAAAGTTGTCAAATCAGCGATCAGCAGCTCCAGTCCTTTCAGTTTACTTGCGATCTAATGTTGGTCAGGAATATGGTGTGTGTGTGTGTGTGGAGTGGTTGTTTTCTTTAGCCTAGCCAACAACTCATCGGTTCCCCCCCCACTTCCGCTGTTTCCGCGCGTGCACTGCCGGTGTTTACCGATGCTTCTCGACGTCCAGCCGAAAATTACGTGAACTGAATTAAATCGCCTACAACCCAGGGTCAAGAACTCATTGCATCAGACACAAACACACTACACCTCACTGACGGGTCTTAACCAATCAGATCAACATACGTCATCTGACGATCAGTTTTGTGTATGAACTTTAATAACACCAGAGCACAGAGTCGCTCTCTCACGCCTACCGCGTTGCATCAGCATTACAAAGACTCCTCGGGAGGATTTTAATCCATTCACACAATGACTAAAACAGTGGTTCCAGTGTGGATTTTCCTGCTGTGCGCTTATCTCTTCTCACACGCAACCGCGGAAAACAAAGGTAATTGGTTGTTTTTCATATTTCTAAGACACACTTTCACGAAAGTCTTTACAGACAGGAAACTGTCTGAAACACTTTCCTCTCTGTGTTGTTTTCAAACATTCTCATACCCAGAGTGCATACTAAAAAATACACACACACACACACACACACACACACACACACACACACACACACACACACACACACACACAAATACTTCTTTTGTCCTGAAATATGTATTTTTCACTTTAGTTTTACTGCAGAGTTTAGGGATCTATTTTGGAGCTGAGTGTCATTCATCTGTATTTTCTGCACTTAGTGTAAGAGATTGTGCTCAGCAGCAGGTCTGATGGTCAGTTTTAAAGGATTTAACGACTATAAACCAGACACCAGTGGTCTCTCTCTGATACTCCGATTATCTGCTGTAAAAGTGAACACTTGAACTTTGACCCATTTAACCTCTGCTGTGTGGTGTTTCCTCTTTCAGACCAGAAAGTCATCTCAGCTGACTCGGGACACAATGTCACTCTGCCATGTCAAGCTCCACACAAGGACATCCCCATCCTAGTTGTAGAGTGGAGCAGAGCTGACCTGGAAGATGAATATGTCCTTACTTACCGGGATGGGCAGTTTGATCCTGATGAGCAGCATCCATCTTTTAAGAACCGGGTGGATCTGCAGGACAGATGGATGAAGGATGGAGACGTGTCTTTGATTGTGACAAATGTCACAGCTGTAGACGCTGGAACATACGAGTGTCGTGTCGTCCAGAGAAGAATAAACCGCAGGAAGAGAGCTCATCTGGACACTAACCCCATCAGCATCATCAGCCTGAGAGTTGTTGAGCCTCCAGGTGAGTGAGTAGAGTTGAGTGTGTGTGTGATCAGAGGTGAAGCTGCTTCCTGGTTGTTGATGTTTGTTTCTAAAGATGTTGTTGATGAGACTTTGTAGAAAGCAGCTGGTCTGAGTGATGTGATCAGAGTGCAGTAGATAATGTCTGACAGCAGTTTGATTCTGTTCTGTTCTTCACTCATCACCTACCTGACAGCTGACACCTCACACCTGTTTCTCACCTGCAGGTCACACAGGAGGAGACACAGAGGATGGAGGGAAGGAGGCAGGAGGGAAGGAGGATGGAGGGAAGGAGGATGAAATTGGTAGAAGATATCATGCTGGACTGGTAGCTTTTGGTTTGTTACTTGCTGTGATCATTGTTGTGGTCGCTGTCGTGATCTCTAAAAAAAGGAAGAATGATCCTTCCTGATGAAGAAGCAATGAAGGAGATGATCTGAAAGAAAATAGGATGACAGGAGAGAGAGAGATAATACATTAAACTAGTTAAAAACGTTTAACTATAAAAATGACATATTTAGATAGATAGTTGTATGAGGGTAACATCACGAGGAGAACAAACAGAATATAAACCAGTGTGTTTCACACTGAATGTGTTCAGGTCGGAGCTGCTGTGTGGACCATTATAGCTTTATATCAGAACCTGTTTTGGTTGGAGATTTATGTAACGCAAACTGTCAGAGAAACTCTTGAATCTATGTTGGTTCCTCTTGATGTCAGTGCTGACTTTGATCCTGTGGATCACTGCAGACGTTTAGAGACATTGATAGAGACTCTGAGAGTTTCTAACTGGATTAAATTGCACAGATGGAGGATTCTTTGTACGTGTTGATGAATCTTCATCCAGGAGCTACAAACTGAACTGTGGCGTTCCACAGAGGTTAAATCTGGGACCAGTGCTTTTAACATTTACAGGCTGTAACTTTGTGATGTCATCAGGAGGCACAGAATCAGTACACATTAGTACACTGATGATACACAACTTTATGTTGTTGTGTCTCCTGATGACACAGAGCCAGTCAGATCTCTCGGCATCTTACATATTAATTCCTGGATGGCAGCAAACTTCCTCCAACTCACTCAGGACAAAACTGAGGTTTAATCAGCAGCTCTGAAGCTCAGAGAGAAACTTCATAACAAACTTCAGACTCTTCCACTAAACCTGTGTGAGCAGGTTAAAAGCCTTCAGGTCTTATTTGATCCAGAACTCACATTTGAAATTCACATTTAAAACTTTTGTCAAAAATATTCTAAAACTAAATTTTCACATTTAATTTGCAACATTTGCACATTTGCAACAGTGCAACAGTTTCTCTCTCAAGCCAATACAGAGACCTTGACTCCAGTTTTCATCTCCTGAAGGACTGATTACTGAAATGCTTGTTTTTCTAGTTTTTCAAAGAAATCTTTGTCACTGATGTCAGTGCAGTTTATGCTTCAGTGGGAAATCTCTGCTGATTACTGTGATTGAAATTTTCACCAGGTGTTGGTAACAATATCCAATCCACACATGCAAAGCAATCAAACCATAGATGTCCATAAATTATCTGTAATGATAAGAAATGTCAAAAGTATTGAGCATGTTTACTGAAAATGTTTTTAATCCTTTGAACATCCTTTGAGCCTTTGTTGGTGATGATTGTTTTAACGTTCCTCCTGCACGGAGAAACTTGTCTCAGGTGTGACTTTGGTCCATTCTTGGCTCTTTGACTGCATTTCTCGCTGTTTTCTTGGAAATAATTGTACCGGCTCCACGTCTTTCTGTATCTCTTTGCAAGTGCTCCAGATGTGGCCTCAGAATTTCATCTTCTTTTGTTTTTGTGGCCCACATTGGCTGTGATATAGACATCAGTGTGTACGATGATGTTATGACTGATGGATGAGAAACAGGACTTCTGTATTTAAAGTGTGTACTGTACATATTTGTAGGCTGAGCGCTGACCTCATCCACAGAGCACTGAGGTGTGAGTCAGTAACTGAGAGTCACGGCTGTCTGCACTCTGAGAGGATGATGACTGTACAATTACTTTTTCTGTGGGTTCATTGGTGCTGAAGTTCAGTACAAACTAACCACCTTTGAGATGAAGTTGCATCATGGAGCTCACAAATCTGCAGCAGCTGTGTGATAATGTCACGTCAACATGAACCAAAACATCAGAGGAATGTTTGCAGCACTTTGTTGAATCTGCTGTGAAGAATTATAGCAGCTCTGAAAGTTAAAAAAAAAAGAAAGACCAAATTCAGTACTAGGAAGGTGTACCTAATAATGTGGCCAGTGAGTGTATATGATTGTAATGAAATAAAACTTGTGAACTTGTTTGTATATTTTTGTGGTGTTCAGTGTCAGTGAAAACGTGTGACAGAGATTTTCTTGTAAAGAGCTGAGCACTCCTGATCCTGTGTGAAGTGGAAACATTAAACCTTGAGTGCTGCAGACTCAGAGATGGGCAGCCTGTTGTTGCACTTTAATGTCAGTAGATGGCAGCACAGACCACTTCATCTTGGTTGCATCAAATGACAAACTCACTTCCTCAGAGTAAAACCTGAAAAAAATAATGCCTTTAAAATGAATATCACCTAAACTATCATCTGCTTTGAGTTGACGTCACACCTGTTACCCATCACACCGTGATATTTCTGGTAGCAGTGGTCACTTCTGGTGAAAACAACCCACCTGCAGCCCTGACTGCTGACAGAGCTGCAACAAGCATCAGTAAATGTATTACAGTCTCATGAATTTGGTGGTTGGTAAAAGCTGCTCAGAGACACATGTTGTTTTATATGTGAGCGACATCCTGATTTCAAATCTGTGGGTCAGTGAAGAGAATCACTAATGGACATGCGCAGTGGAGGGTGCTCTAACATAAACGTGTGACTGTGTGTTGAAAACAATTTCACTCAGAAAGTAAAATCCGACACATTGCAGATGAAGGCTGTTTATTAATGGAGTAAAGGATCTCCATCATATTACAAAACACACTTGTACCTGTGAAAAATAGTGAAAAATATAAATTTATAAGATATTAATCTGTGTGACAAACCATCCATAAATGTGTGTTAATATTCAGATTTTAAATAATGTTTATTTTTATGTTCATTGTCTCTCACAGTGACACAGACAGCTGTGACATCAAACATCACATAAACAGTGATTCATTCCTCTGTGAACTTTAAATAAACACAATAAAGAGATTGTATTTGACTCCTTTCACTTTAGTCTGACTTTATGAAAACTTGCTGCTGAGCACTTTAGTTATAAAGCAGAGGTTAAAATGGTGATAAAAAAGTCAGTAATAATGAAATAAGAGCCATCCTGTAGATGCAGACTGAGTTTAGTCCAAGGATATAAAATGTGTTACCATCAACCTTGTAACTGTCTGATAATCAGACGTCTCTGATTAGTTATTGACTTATTTGAGTGATTTCCTTTCTGACAACGATTGTCCGAGTCTCCAGGATGTCTCAGGGAGCTGCTGTGTGGACCAGTTAGAGAGCAGCAGCTGGATTCCAGTGGTTGGACTGGTGGACGACTTCAGTGAGGAGTAGATGATATTTGGCTCTGGTAGAAACTCTGCACACACAAACACACAGGAGGAGAATATAAGCACAAAGCAGAGCCTCTCTGTTCTCTTTATAAACAGCAAAGCATCAGGACATGTCAGTGAACGCATCACAGTTACAATAATGTAACTTATTGAACTTTGACACATTTTGTGCAGGTGTGTCAGATCACACAGCATCTGCAGACACACAATCTTGTTTTGATACATTTTAACTGCAGGATGAAAAATAAACTGATTAAATAACATCAAATTGCTCCATCTTAACAGGTTACTGGCACCAGAATATTTAGTGGAACTGGTGCTTGTGTCCCAGTCAGTGTGTACATCCTGAGATGCTGCAGGCACAAACCTGTTCACTGTTCCCAGCTCACACTTAAAGACGACTGAATGTTTGCTGTGAGGACTCCTCGATCCTGGGACGACCTGCCTGAAGAAATCTGGCTCGCCTCATCAGTGTCGTCTTTTAAATCCTTGTTAAAGACTAATATATAAACTTTACTCATCTTATTCATCCAGCTGTTGGAAGTTATTCACTACATGACGCTTGAGTCTGTGTGGCCGTAGTTTGATTCATATTTTACTCTTTGCTCTTTCACTCATCGTCTCTGGGAAGCACTCGTAACGATGGTTTGAAAGTGACACAAACTTAAAAATAAAATAAAGTTTGATTGTGAGCAACAGATTTATGGTGTTTGTACTAAAAGAAGAGCAGCTGTACCTCTCAGCTCTGACTGTTTTTCCTTCTCTTTGACTGACTCTTCAGTTCTCACTGCTGAGCCGACTGCAGCTGCATCTGCACAATAAAACACACACACAGGACGTCAGTGCACGATTGACTTTACCCAGAATGCTCTGCAGGAGAAAATGGAAGGTACTCATGTTTAGCTGGACAGAGAAAAGTTACAGGAAGTCGTGATGTCGCTCTGATGTTGTCAGTTTGTCTTGTACAACATTTTTCTGAGTCTCATATAAAGACGTCGCTTCTCTGTTTTCTTAACAAAGTGGATTTTCTACAACAGTTTCAATGATAAGAAACAAAATGATGACATTAGTTATGGAGCCTTTGGTAACATATTCAGAGAACAAGATGGAAAAACAATCAGTTACAGGAGCAAACATCATGCTGGCTTGAACACATATTTGTTGTTGAAGCTTCTCAGTATTTGAATCATGAAGATTTGTTAGTGTTTTTTAATGAGTTCATCTTTTAAACCATTTTAGCCTCGATTGTCCTGTTAAACACTATTTAACTTCTGTCTCTATAATGCAACAAAGAGTCAAGTTTAGCCTTTCTGCTAACTTCAGGCTAAAAACACTGATGACCTCCAACGCTGCCCCTCAGCCTCCTGGTAGAGGCTCCTATGGACCAGCAGGTGACAACAACACCCATCAAAGGGACAAAGACACTGAGCAGCATGCAAAGAAGCCCACTCACTATAAACATCATGTAAGAAATAAGAACTACAATGGGATCATTGATGGAGCTGGACTGTTGTCAGAGTGCAGCTTAGAGGAGATTCTGAGTTTAGCAAAACCTCCTCATGGCTTAAAAAGTCTAACAAGTGTTAAGATTTCCTGTGAATATTACTGTGAACACTGAGACGCTCTCCTGTTTTCAGTGCAGCTCACTTTGTTATGTTACTCATATAGAATTAAATAAGTATTCAAATAAAAAGTGTAAATATAGACTTTAATTAGCCAGTTTGTTATGCTGCACCGAACAAACGCACTACTCTCACATGTGGTGTGACGGGACACGAGCTCCAGCTCAACCTCTGACTTTACTGATGAACGAGTGAAAGTGAATTCCTTTGTTTAGTTATTATTAGAATATGTTGTTTGTTAGAAAGTGTTATAGATGCTATGTTATGTCCTACAGAGCAAATATTTCATATTCAGCCTTCATGAAGCGACCAGTTAAGTATTAATCTTCTATAGCAATAATTCATCTTTGACGTTACATTATTTATATCATTTCATGTATTCTTCATTTCACACATTACATTGTTCTAAATATAATGTTTAAATAATTTTCATATTATTGAAGTCAGGATTATAACAGAAGGTCACAATCATGGCTGCAGCAAATATGAAGACGAGGCTCAATCAAATACAAACAATATTTAAAGTGAGTTACTGACTCTTAACTTGTAACTTTATTCAGTAAAACTGTTTATTCTACCAGTGTTGTAATAAATAAGTTGTACCATCAATAAATAAACAGCTGCTGAGGACTCGTTGGTGTAGCGAAGGACTAATGTCCTAAAGGTAATATAGTACACACTCCTTCTGAGACGACTGAAGGTCCTCTCATTTCCAACACTGTTGACTCTGTCTGTGTTGCACATGCTCAAATAAAGGGAACACAAGATAAGAATCCAGATCTGAATGAATGAAATATTCTCATTAAATACTTTAGATAGTTGAATGTGGTGACAACAAAATCACACAAAATGATGAGTGGAAATCCAATGTAGCAACCCATGGAGGTCTGGATTTGGAGTCACACTCAACGAGGAAAAACACTCTACAGTAATGTCCTTACAACAAGTCAAAGTGAAGCTCGGCAGTGTGTGTGGCCTCCACGTGTCTGTATGACCTACAACACCTGGACATGCTCCTGATGAGGTGGTGGATGGTCTCCTGATGGACCTCCTCTCAGACGTGGACTGAAGCATCTGCCACTCCTGGACAGTCTGTGGTGCAGTTGGTTGGACGGAGCGAGACATGACGTCCCAGATGTGGCTGGGTTGATTCAGGTCTGGGAACAGCTGGACCAGTCCACAGCATCAATGCCTTCGTCCTGCAGGAAATGCTGACACACTGCAGCCACATGAGGTTCAGCATTGTCTTGCATTAGGAGGAAACCAGAGCTGCCCGCACCAACATATGATCTCACAGGGAGGTCTAAGGATTTCATCTTAGTACCTAATGGCAGTCAGGCTACCTCTGATGAACACATGGAGGGTTGTGCAGGCTGTCCACCCCATACCTAACTGACCCACTGCCAACCATCATGCTGGAGGATGTTGGAGGCAGCAGAAGGTTCTCCACACTGTGTCCAGACTCTGTCACGTCTGTCACATGTGCTCAGTGTGATTCTGCTTTCATTGCCAGTGGCAAAGTTGCCATCTCGGTGTTCTCTGGCAAATGCCAAACGTCCTGCACGGTGCTGGGCTGTAAACACAACCTCCACCTGTGGACGTCGGGCCCTCATGCCACCTCATGGAGTCTGTTTCTGACCATTTGAGCAGACATGTGTACATTTGTGGCCTGCTGGAGGTCATTTTGCTCTGGCAGTGCTCTTCCTGTTCCTCTTCCACAAAGGTGGAGGTAGCGGTCCTGCTGCTGGGTTGTTGCCCTCCTACGGCCTTCTGATGTTCCGGCCTGTCTCCTGGTAGCGCCTCCATGCTCTGGACACTACACTGACACACAGCAAACCTTCCTGCCACAGCTCACATTGATGTGATCCTGGATGAGCTGCACTACCTGAGCCACTTGTGTGGATTGTAGACTTTGTCTCAATCTATCACTAGAGTGAAATCACAGCCAGCATTGAAAAGTGACCAAAACATGAGCCAGAAAGCATCAGCACAGAGAAGGTCTGTGGTCACCACCTGCAGAAACCACTCCTTTATTGGGATGTCTTGCTAATAATTCCCACCTGTTGTCTAATCCAACAGTGTGTGGCATTGATTGTCAATCAGTGTTGCTTCCTAAGTGGACAGTTTGATTTCACAGAAGTGTGATTGACTTGGAGTTACATTGTGTTGTGTAAGTTTTCCCTTTGTTTTGGAGCAGTGCATTTATTCTGTGTACTATTGTATTTATGTATTATCATCCTTTTCTATCCTTACTAGGGCTGTGCGATATGACCAAATCATATCCCGATATAAACATCTATCGTCCGATAACGATATAAATCACAAAAATGTAACATTTTCTGTGAATTCTGTGAATCTCGGGCAGCTTCGACTGCTTGAAGTGTTTCCAGCTGACGTCGTGTACCTGGAGTCGAGTGTTTTAACCGATGAAACGATACATTTTTAGACATAAGTTGTAGCTGTTTTGCTTCTCATCCGTAAACACTGCATACTCTTTCATATGATTCAGTTTATTTTGAGAAGTCTCAACAGGATCTTGAGCTTTATTGTGAAAGGTTTATGTGGAACATAAACAAGCGGACACACGATGGTTTTACCGTCGTTGTTGTTCATGACAACGCATAAAAACAGGCGCTTGTCCGTCCGTAGTGTGGTTATATTGAATATAAGAGAAAGAGAGAAGTTTAATTAACATAGCCACTACAGCGACCGTCAAAACCATGAAAAAATATTGACGTAAACAGTTTATTTTACGACACCACGAAACAAACGATAGCGTAAACTGAAACGATATATCTGGTTATATCGAACAGCCCTCATCCTTACTCTCTCTATCCAAGCACAATACTGTTGAACTTATTCTCAGTTTATCTTCTGTATAGTTGTAAACATGTATATTTGAATTTGTTATATTTTCATGTCATTTTACAGTGTTTTTCACCTTTGAAGGAGGACGATGTTTTGTCCCACTGTTACCTGAGTGTGTATTGTTTGGTTGACAATAAAACTCGACTAAAACAACAGAGTACTGGTACAGTACTAGGTTTGCTAGTACTACATTACTGTATATTGCTCACACACACACACACACACACACACACACACACACCACACACACACACACACACACACACACACACACTCTTCATCAGCAGCAGACAGTCTCTTTGATGTTGAGACATTTATCCATAACTGTGTGAAAACAGCACATGTGGAGGTGCAGGGAGGGAAACCCCGGGTTAACTGAGTGAGTTTTATCAACTCATATCAGCTTCATATGACAGAATATCCTGATTACCAATGTTAGCGTCAACTAATCTGAATAACAGAAATATACCCTGGTATAATAAACCTGCTCTGTAGTGCAGGACCAGATCAGTCAAAGTACAAGAATTCAAACAAACACAGAGATTCTACTTACAGAGCAGACACAGCACAGATGTTTCCTTCATCGTCCTTCTCACTCAATTCAGCTTTTTCTCATTTCTGTCTCTGACACCAAGTAAAGTCGCCCTCTTCCTCCTTCCTGTTGGTACAAAGAGAGTCGAGGTCAGATACATTAGAAATATATACAACTATTAACACACTGTAACGGTTACTCTCTTATAACACGTGGTATGAACGCCCTGTTACTTAAAGTTGCTACAAAAACACACAGATAGTTTTTTTAAGAATATTTCCAAGATGGACGTCTGATCGACATCACGGATGTTACACCAGTGTCCATTTGATGAACCTCTTCAGCATCACCTGCGTACCCCTGTCAGACTTTCTAACAAGAAAAACTTTGTGTTATGAATCATTTTCTCAAAGAATAAAACATTGGAAATATTAAGAGTTGGAGAAAAAAGAAGAAAATGCAGCAGTCCTCCAACAATTTCTTATCCTACTAGTGAAAAAGTTCCATCCCTGGATTTATAATGCTGATGTCAGGAACAGAGAAGTGATGTTTGTACAAAGCCAACATATACAGATGAACATATATATGAAAAGCTTAAACATGTTGTTTACTTCTTTAAATAACAGGCTGCGGTTTCTGCTTTGCATACATGAAGAAGACATGGTGCTGCTTTCTCTTCACATTCACATTAGATGTTTAAACTAAAATGAACCCATCCACTCTCATCCACTTCAGTCTGTCTCAGGGACACATGACGCTGTTACGACTCATCGAGCGATGCCACGACCAGCCAATCGGTGACATCACAGTTTAGTACCTGCTCAGATCGCTTGGAAACCCGGCCGAGCAGGTACTAAAGAAATACCTGGTACCAGGTACTGATGACCATTCACACTCACATTCACACCTCTGGGCGATTCAGAATCACCAGTGAACTTAACCCCACTGACTGCATCTCTGTGGACTGTGGGAGGAACCTGAAGAGAACCCACACAAACACAAGGAGAACATGCAAACCCCCACAGAGACTCCCCGACCAGGTGGTGGATGCAAACGCTCAGTGTCACCATGTGGCCCTCTTAAAAATAGATTTAGGTACTTTAAATATACACAACATGTAAACTATAAAAATAATAAATAAAAGTTATAATGCTACTTATGTCAGCTGTAACTCTCATCTGGACTCTAATTTTACAGTTTTGTTTTTATTATTAAGTGTCAGTGCACTTATGTTAACGACAGTGAATCCTTAAGCTGTCATCATCGATTTTCACCTGTCAGCCTCATTCTGTCCTTTCTGAAAGTCTTCAACAACTCAATTATGATGTGACTGAAAACACAATGAAGACAAAATATTAGGTATAAAATAACTGACTGGAATATTAATTCTGTTTTATCAACATATATAAACACATTTAAGGATCTGACTGTTGACTAGCATGCAATGTTAAAAAAAAACTTAAACTAAAACAAACAAACAAATGAACAGTTATAAGTAATAATAATAATAATAATAATACCAAACATACATTTTTATACAAAGTAGAGCCGATCAATGCATTTATGAATTTATGAATGATCAGTTTTTTCTAAACTTCTAAAGAAGTAATTTCTAATGTTTCTATTTATTTCTATGTGTATTGTCTTTACTTATATTGGTAAGTAGAGTTTAATGAACGTGATTTATGACGAGTTATATATAAAATTTAGAAATGAGCTGTTTAGCAAAGTATCTTAAATACTACGTTATTTGACACATTTCACATATTATACACCAACAAGTCATTTACAGCAGTGTTGGCCATCATTTTTATGCAAATACCGGAAACCAGTTCGGGGCACAACCGTATTTGGCGCCGTTCCGAGCGAACGTCGTCACAGCGGGGACACCGGACAAGATGGGTACCGGAGTTCTTACGTCGCTCTTGGGGATTCTTTTCCTCCGTTATAGCGCGTTTGCATCAACAGGTGAGTATGAAACTCTTAGATTGCTGCTGAATTAATTTGCCGTTAGAGCCACCGAGACTCGCCGGACATCGTTTTTCAGCTGAAACCTCACATATCAGAAAACATCCACTTCGCTCAAAGTACGGCTAGCGATAGCGAAGCGACACATAACGTTAACATGGCGGTGCAAACCAGAGTAGCCGGCAAAGCGGACTGGTCCCGGATTACTTTCACATTTATAACAGGGGATTTTAGTCCGGGAAAACTGAAGTCGTACTAATATAATTCTATTAACACGGGCAGTGCCCTACAACGGGAGAAATTTACGGATAAAAAATAACTCGAAGATACTTTTCGACACCGTGTCGCGCTATGCTAGCCATCAGCAGCAAAGGAGGAGAAGCGCTACCGCCGCGAGCTTAATGTTCGCGGCGGGTCGGCTGGCTTCACCCCTGGCTGCACAAATCACGGTTCACTTGACCGCGTTATCTCAGGAGAACAACCAAGCCACTAAAGAAGTGTATTAAAACTCGAGGAGGCACACACACAACTGGAGCACTGTTTGCTCATATTGTGTGTGGATTATTTAACCATCAGAGCCTGGTTAAGGAACAGTCTTTTTTTGTCTCGCATCAAGTACCTGCTGAGAACATCACTGAAGTTTATCTGAGTTTTCCCCATCCAGAAACCCTGGCAAGGTCGGGGGCAGATCTAGAAGGTGGCATGTGCCACCCCGAGTGCCACCCTAGTTTTGCACATGACAATGTTGTTTACTAAAGTAAGATAGCACTTTGAGCTAGCTACAGTTATCAGTGATATAAGTTCTAAAGCTGAATCTATTGCTTAGTGTTACCCAATGTTCCCTCTAATGTTTCATGTGTCTGAGCGAACACACAAACTCCCTGAGCGATCCCTTGGACCACTGTGAGCAACAGCAGACGTGTGCACTGTGGTCACGCCAGCATCAAATCCATCCAAGTTACTTGGTTTATTAAAATAATCAAATTACAACATTTACATTTATGTTAGACTACTTTTAATTAACTGCTTTAGAATGCAATTTTAAAAAAATCTCGTTCATGACTTGTGTAGTATGTTAACACTATTGAAAGTAAAAATAACTTGAACTCCAATTTTGAAAACACAACTTTATTTATTTTTTTTTTTTATAAAGCTCTGACTTGTAGTATGAGTCTGTGGTCTGGGGAGAGTCCTGTAACTCTGTCTGCAAAATACAGTAAATAATGACGATGTTGGAGAATCAGAATCAGAAAGGTGTTTATTGCCAAATGTTGAGCAGGTTTACAACATTAGGAATTGTTGGGCAATTAATAATATAGTTACTTCTTCAAAAAGTTACTGAGTTTTGCAAGCAACGAAGTTTTTTGCAGCTGTTTACCTAAAAATGCAGCCAAGGCGTTTTTAAATAAACACTTCAAACTATTTACAGAACAATCAGCTGTTCTACATCAAATTTGATGCCACACAAATTATTTGTGCCACTCCAAAAATTATTTCTGTCCACTAGGAAATAAAGGAGAACATCACAAACCTGATACCTGCAGGCCTGACAACAGGGGATGTATCACTCCTGTAACACCTGTAACACTCAGCAGTCGCCTCATTGTTCTGACACACACAACAAAACTATTGACTACACTAGGGCTGTACGATATGATCACAATTTCATATCCTGATATAAGACATTTATCGTTATTAACCCTCTGGGGTCCACGGACACGCTGCACCTCCAAATCACATGACTGATTTAAGCTGACATAACAACAAGCTGCAGCCACACTCAGTCTCTATTTCAGACAGTGTTAAAACTTATTGCAACACCTGATTGTTCTCTCATTTTAGTTATAGTAGTATTTTTAAATGGTTGTAGAAAAATTTAAAAAAAAAGAACAGCAGGTGTATTGGCTGCATTTTTAGATAAATATTTGAAAATGTTTACAAAATGTACAATATATATTTGCATTTAAAAAGATAGTACTCAAATTTTATGTTTTTTGCGTGATTTCAGATGAGTTGTGTTAATACAGTATGCCAATTTAAAAAAAAAAAAAAAAGCTAAATTCAGACACATGAGGTTGAGCTGAGAAGAATGACACCAAGCAAGACACGGGGAAAAATAAACAATTTAAAGGTGAAATACACATGTTAAATCAAAAGCAGTTAAAATGGCCAGTTATATGTTGGACCTCAGAGGGTGAACACAAGAAATCATGAAAAATTAGGTTTAAATCTTTGTTCATGACAATGCAGATTTCTGACATTTTGTGTAAATTCAAGGTTCAACATTCGTCAGATGCATAATTATACAAGTATAACACAGTGAAATATAAACGCTCCTTGACTTGTGCAAAAGGGGGGAGAGGGGGAGAGAGGAAGAACATTATAAATAAATATATATATACACATTTGGTGAATGTGCAGTAGCATGTATGCAGCAAGCTTCTCGCAGTGGGGATGATCTCCTCCGCTAGCATATTGACAAAACACACTGCTTCTTCCGTAAACTCGTTGATGTCGACTGCGCATGCTCAGTCTACATCGTTGAGTGCGTCCTGTAGCGTAGCTTCTGATTGGGCAGACCAACGTTTCACCTCCCTCGTGGTTACTTCTTCCCTCCATATGTTTTGTTTATACTGGGGAATGAGGAAGATGGCGTTGTGGTCAGTCTTCCCGAAAGCCGAGTGTGAGACAGCTTTGTAGCCCTGCTTGTACTGCGTGTAGCAGTGATCCAAAATCCGATCCCCCCTCGTCGGACACCAGACATGCTGGTAGAAATTCAGCATGACTTGTCCGAGGTTCTCTTTATTAAAGTCTCCTGCTACAATGAGGGCTGCGCCCGGGTCCTTGTTTTGAAGCGAACTCAGCACATCATGTAGTTCGGACAAAGCCATACCTGTGTCCGCTTGGGGTGGGATGTAGACCACCGTGGCGATGACCGAGGTGAACTCACGGGCAGATAGAAAGGGCGGCACTTAATGCTCAGGAATCCCAGATGTGGCGAGCAGCCGCTGCAAAGAGTAGAAATGCACCTGGCATCACACCACTTTCTGTTTACCACACTCCTCCACCTTTGGTTTTGTTTGACTCTGCCGTTCTGTCCGCGCGGAGCACAAAGAATGAATCCGACGGAGTTACGGCCTGGTCCGGCACGATGGGGTCAGTCATGTCTCCGTGAAGCGCACAATGTCGCTGTCCCTCATGTCACGTTGGAAGGTGACTCTTGCTCTTAGGTCATCGAGCTTGTTCTCCAAAGCAGTCAGGAAGGAAAAATCGCCCCATGTTGTTAAGCTTTCTGGATTTTATATTTATTGGGCTACAGATTTATTCATTATACGGACTACACGGTACATAAACTCAAAATTTCACGTGTATATCTAAACTGTATACATGGACTGCAGGAAATAATTAAGTTGTAGACTATATTTATATGAATAGCATGTATATTGAATCATTTTAACCATATGTAACCCACCCCTTTGTGTTCGAAAAAAAAAGGCTTTGATTTGCCGCACATTTGATTCTTTGCCACCCTAAGAAAATTTCTCTAGATCCGCCCCTGGTCAGGGATAAAGAAAATAGGTCCTGTTGATATTTGGGCTTCGTTCCTCCTGTTCCAATAAGAAGTAATCCCTCACTTGAGAATGCACTCAAACTTTAACATTTCCGCAGCAATTTGCTGAAACAACCTCTGAACCAACAACAAGGATGTAAGACTTCCTAAAACTATAACTTCTTTTTCTAGGAGGTTCCACTTTATGGTAATGTAACGACATCCAACTGTAACTTTGTCACCAAATTAAAACATCACTACTTGACTAGCTGGTTGTAAAGAAAGCGGAGTAACCTGGATCCTGACCAGTGCGCGCTCCCGACGCTGGGGAACGCTCCGTCGGTGATAAATGGCACAACGCTCAACCAGAGCAGCAGCCATGTTTCAGCGCTACAACCAGACGTGAAACACGACCTTCTTATGACTCTGCGTGTCTGCGTTTTACTTACCCCGACATGCAGAGGCTCTAAAAACATACTAGCAGCTCCTTTGTGCCTGATCCCACACGTCAGCAAACATGAAGACGGTGAAAGCTGCTGATAAGCTTCGTTTTTTCGACGTCACGATTAAAAATAGGCTCCAATACCCAAAGTTAAGCCCACGTCGATTTCGAGTAAAGGGCATCATTGTTTAAAGCTCCTAGCAAAGCTGTTTTCCACCGTCCACGAACGATAACACAAACGTTGATAACACAAACAGCTTCTCTTCTCACGGAGAGCAACCGTGTAGCGAGGTCACAAAGATTGCAGCGGAAGCGCGTTCCCTGTGTGCCTGCAGAGCGAGCCGACGATCGATAGGGAGCAGTGTACAGTATGGTACGTACTACAGCGCTCCCCCGGTTGGCACGACCGCGGTAAAGTGAGCCGTCATTGTGAGCCGCGGTCAAGCCAGCCGCTTCTTATCCGCCGCATAAATTTCCTTGCGCTTTTACACCAGGCTGCACGGTAGCGCCTTTTCGCTTTATATGCCGATTGAAAGCCTAGACGCACGCGGGCGAATAGTCACACGCGCGCGCGCACAAATTACAGCCCAATACAGTCAATACAATTATGGAAATTTCAAAAATTCATTAAAAATCATCCTGAGTAGTTGAGGTCCAACTTTCAACACATTCCTTCTCTGGGACACCTACTGTACCTGTGTGTCAAGTTTCATCCAGATTTACTGCAATATTACTCAGAAATTACAAGAAACCTATATTCAACGCAATACAGCCAATACACTACAATTATGGAAATTTCAAAAATTCATTAAAAATCATCCGGAGTAGTTGAGGTCCAACTTTCAACACATCCCTCCTCTGGGACACCTACTGTACCTGTGTGCCAAGTTTCAGCCAGATTTACTGTAAAATTCCTCAGAAATTAAAGGACATTTATATGCAATTCAATACAGCCAATACACTACAATTATGTCAATTTTCAAAAATTCATTAAAAGTCATCCTGAGTAGTTGAGGCCCAACTTTCAACACATTCCGAAAAGGCGCTACCGTAAAGACTGGTGTAAAAGCGCAAGGAAATTTATGCGGCGGATAAGAGGCGGCTGGCTTGACCGCGGCTCACAAATGACGGCTCACTTTACCGCGGTGTTGGCACGGAGTCGTGGGCCTGATGTATGGAGCTCATTGCATCATTTAGTCAGCCCGTCACCTGCATCTATCTGACTCTTGATTTCTCAGAGGGAGCAGTGTAGTAGATGAAGAGCTGATGGTGAAATCAGGAGCAAAAACTAACGAATGTTGGCCTGGTCAACACATTTTCAATTCAATTCAGTTTTCTTTATATAGCGCCAAATCACAACAACAGTCGCCACGAGGCGCTTTATATTCTAAGGTAGGATGTCTGAAAACCTACACAGACATAAACTTATTATCATTATTTAATCATGTGGTCACAACTTAATAACCTGACAACATCACATGTTTCTGAGCATAAGAACCAAAACAACAAATAAGCAGCTGTTCAAAGCCGTTTGCAAAAATTATTTTCCCTTTTTAATAAATCTTTTCAGATTGTGTTTTTGTTCTATTTCTGACACTGGGAGCTAAACACAAGTTGTTTTGTTTTGTTGCTTTATTGCTTTGTTGTTCGTCTGAATTCTGTGGTTCCTTAGCAGATTTTAACAGGTCTATGGTCACGTTTATGTGATTCAACCAGCATAAAGGAGAGAGCAGTTGTCTCTGTTCCTCACCCTGATTGGCTGCTGTAGAAGTGACCGCTTCCTCTCTTCTCTGTTGTTTCATCTTTTAGACCAGGAAACCATCACGGCTCAGTCAGGACAGAAGAACGTCACCCAGCCATTTCGAGCTCCAAACAACAACATCATAATAATTGAAGAGTGGTCCAGAGCTGACCTACATAAATGTGCCCCTAAGTACTGCAATGGACACTTTTTTCCACAAGAGCAGCATCCATCTTTTGAGAACCAGGTGGATCTGGAGTTGTTGTGGCAGTTTTTGGCGATGGCGTTTTTCCCCGTGCGTGTTGGTGAAGTTGGTGATGATGCCGTTGGAGGATTTTTTCGATTTGGTGGTGTTGATGGTGTCAGCAGTGGTGTTGAAGGAGGTATTGTTGTTGTTTGTGGAGATGGTGTTTGAATCTACAGAAACATAAACAACAGAAGCAGGGTTCATACCAGCCTCCAGCACCTCAACTGATCCTTTTTCTTTCAACGACTCTACTGCCTCCTCCCCTGTGCCATTCATCAGGAGACACCTACCCACAGCCTACACTGCAGCCTCTCCATCACAACTTACCAGGGGCGAAGTCAGCTGATGAAGATGAAAACCAGGAAAGCCATGGGCCCGGGTGGAGTAGCTTCCACTGAAGTCCATCAAGCAGGTTGGGGAGGAGAGGATGTTGTCTAAGCTAACATCCATCATGGACAACACCTTCTTGGCCTCCAAACCCTCTATGACCCTCTGGTATTCCTTCCCACTGTTGCCAAAGTGCTTGCTCATAAGGGGTCATATGATTGTTGGGTTTTTCTCTGTATCTATGAAGCGCCTTGAGGCGACTTATGTTGTGATTTGGCGCTATATAAATAAAATTGAATTGAATTGAATGGTGGAATTGAACTCAGGAGCTTCTTACATACAGTTCATGCAGTTTTTAGGAGATTGTGGTTCTAATGTTTTTACTGTAAATAAAGTGTCTGTTGATATGATTGTTGTTGTTTCCTGGTGCTTCCTTAATAAATCTGAGCTCGGGATCAAAATAATCCATGTCTTGTTTTTTTGTTGCAGTTTTTCACAATGTTACTACGAATATTTTTTTTTTACCAATAAATATTAAGAATACATAATGAATCCCATAAATTGTGACAGAGTTTATAAACACAACAGCTTTTATAAATGTTGTAAAACACGATTATGTTTTAATTGGTTAACCTGGTCCTTTATGACCACAGAGAGAAAGAACAAAGGATTTACCAAGTGCACTGATGTGCAGACATGTAAACACTGAAACCTCATCCAGATGTTTCACACATCACATAAAACTAATTTGGATGTTTTCTTTTCCACTTAAGTGACAAAAACATACTTTAATGCATGTTTTGCTCTGAACGGCTCCCAGATCTACAGGATGTTAATTCTCCTGAGTTAACATCCTGTAGATTTGGGACCAGTTCCCTTTTTCCATGGATGCAGTGGTGGTGACCAAACTAGAACTGGTTCTGTGTTCCCATCAGGACAAGTCTGGTTCTGCTGAGAACAGGAAACTGAGGCTGTGATTCACACAGGCTCACCAAAGTCTGACAACAGCAGACTTGAGAAACATTTCCAGGTCTGATGAGTTCAGATTTGTGCTGTGACGGTCACATGGATCCATCCTGCCTCGTATCAGAGCATCGATTAAACACCACAGCGTGTTGCTGCTGACTGCGTTCATCTGTAACCATCCTCTGATTGCACTCCATGTCACAAAATCAAATCATCTCCAGCTGGTTTCTTGACCATGACGATGAGTTCACTGTACTCAGGTCGCCTCCAGTCTCCACATCTCAAACAAATGTGTTGGAACGAGAGATTCACATCATGTCTGTGCAGCTGATAAATCTGCAGCAGCTGTGTGATGCTCTCACATCTACATGAACCAAAGTCTCAGAGGAATGTTTGCAGCACCTTGTTGAATCTCTGCTGTGAAGCATTAAAACAGTTCTGGAGGCCGAAAATCAGTACTAGGAAGGTGTACTTAATAAACTGGCCAGTCAGTGTATATTACTATAATTACATTTTAAAACTGTAAACACAAATCTGTGGTCATATATTTTGTTGTATTCAGTGTCAGTGAAAACATGGTGCTCCGACTCAGACTCAGTTTCTCTGTTTTTTAATCAGCTTCTCATTAAAATTCAGACTTTATTCAAATGACCACAACCAGGGGGCACTTTAATGTAAACAGATGCCTCTGTGATGCATTTACTGTCAGTTTTGTAATGCTCACAGTCTGTTCAGGAGATCTGAAACACATTTTACATAAAGACAGTTGTGAAAGTGAAATTGTTCCTCCTGCTTTTAGTTTGTGGCTGAAGTTAACCTGTGTGATGTCTTTATTGTGGATGAAGTAACTGCAATTTTCTGCTGATGCATTTGTAGTAAATGACAAAGTTTCAGATCACAACATCCACAGAGACGTGAAGCTTTGTGTTTGACACGTTTTAACCACAAGATTAAACACATGAAATCATGAATCTGACTGTCTGCTGACACTTCCTGGAGAGTGAGGATGAGGAAAATCCCTCCATCCTCACACAGTTTATATAAAAAGAGAAATGTTAATGTTTTTCCCTTCTTCCTCATACCTTTACTTCAGTCTCAGTATTCCACGATTATCACGGGGCAGTAGCAGATCCAGACCAAACTAACCGCAGGCTAATATTTAAATGTTTAATATATTAAGTGAATTTATTTTCACTCATTTATATAAAGATCCAAAAGAATTTCAAAGTAAAGGTTTCACATACTGCTCTTCCTCATACCTTTACTTCAGTCTCAGTATTGCTGTATAGTATTCCACCTCCCACACCCAGGGTTACCGAACAAAACAAGGAGAGCAATATTTCATTGTTTTATATATTAATTGAAAATATTTTAGGCACTAACATAAAATCAAAAATAAATATCCAAATGAATTTCAAAGTAAAGGTTTCACATACTGTGCATGTGCACAATGTTTAAAATCCACGTCTGACATATTTGGTGGCCTGAAACAGGCAGAGTCCATAATTACAGAGAATCCAACGATGTCTTTCATACCAGCTTTGATGGAAGCTGCGTCTCCTGTCCCCCTTAATGTGACTGGAAATGTCCTCAAACTGGGCAGCACTGGTGGATCATCTTTGTACGTCTGATAAGAGATGAATGCAGAGCAAACATGAGGCTGTAACTGAGGACAATAACTGATCAGTGTTAACTTATTACTTTATTCTGTCATTATTGTTCATTACTGTCAGTTACAATGACTGTATGAATTGTAATGACACGACACTCACAGTCACACAGGTCTGTTCAACATCACAAACCACTGGTTGTCCCTCTTCCTCTCCCTCACAGCTCGTCTTCCTCCTCACTCTCAGGACTGTCTCTCTCTGCATCCTCTCCAACTAACTCCTCTGTCTCTCTGTCATCCTGCTCCTCAGCTCCTCATCATCTCCATCCTCTCTCTCTACATCGTTCTCTACTGGCCCCTGTCTAAAGCCACCTATGCACAGGGGGGTTATGTTCAGGGATTTATGATGTTTGTAGTAAAAGAAGAGCAGCTGAACCTCTCGTCTTTGTTGTTCTTCTCTTTGACGATGATTCGTCCATCACTGACGTCTTCTTTTCTCACTGCTGAGCAGACTGCAGCTGATCGCTCTCTGCACATGAGACACACAAAGATAAATAAACCAGTGCAGGTTTTTGCAGGTAGAACAGCTGTTAGCAGTGCTGCCACACGTGTGATATAAAGAAGAGTCGTAGCATCACAAACATCTTTCTTAGAAACTGGCAGCAGTTTTCAGCAGCTCACATTTTACTACAAGGTCCAAAACCAAGACTTTTTCTAACGTTACACACACACTACAATCAGCACTGTGGTGAGAAATGAGCTTCACACATCAGTCCTGTGGAGCTCAGGGTCAATGTTGTAGCTGAGATTCATTTACATGATGCTTGGATTCATTCACTGAATTCTACTTTTACTCCACCTGTTTGCTGTTTGGTATAAACACACTATAAACAACATGTTGTGAAGACACTATGGCAGGATAGCTCGTGAAACATCTGCTCACATCTGGTTGAATTCAGTTGTGTACATCCACAAAGAGCAGCAGGTCAGCTGATCACAGCCTGGACACTGAAAACCTGAAGCTCACGTTAGAAACAACTCTGATTATTTTCCTGTGCTGAGCCACTACAAACACTTTGAATGTTCCTCACCTGCTGAATCCACTTTAACCCTGACTGTACATATAAAACATCTTTGTTTTCCTCTGCTCATGTTCTACTTCACTGATTCAAACTGAGAATCTATATTAGAATGAACATTTAGACTGAAAGGGTTCATTAGAAATACAGAAATGTGTGTGTTGGACCAAAAATTAATTTCTGATGTTTCTGTGTTTTTCTCTAATAGTTATATTGTTAAACAGACTGTAGTGAACAGGACTTATGAATGAGTTATAAATGAAGACATTTTTATTTAGAAAAGCATTTGATTAATTTTTTCTTATGCTGTTTTTATAGTTTTATTGTTTTACATTGTTTTATTTACTGTTATATTGTTTTATATTCCCATTTTCTGTGTTGTAAAGCACTTTGTGATTTTTATCTGTGAAAAGCGCTATATAAATAAATTTTACTTACTTACTTACTTACTTAAATAAAATAAAGAAATGAGCTGCTGTTGAAGTATCTTGATGACACTGTGTAATTGTACCACAATGTAATTAATTCAGTCCTTTGTGGTGACTTAAATATCCTCATACAACTGTGATGTTATATTTCTTCAAACTTCTTGGCCACATCTCATTTTAAAAGGACATTTTAATATTAATGACACTTTTACCCATATATATATATATATATATATTTGATATATATATTTGATATATATATATATATATATATATATATATATATATATATATATATTTGATATATATATATATATATATATATATCAAATATATATATATATATATATATATATATATATATATAATATATATATATATATATATATATATATATATATATATAAATATATATATCAATATATATATATATATATATATTTATATATATTTGATATATATATATATATATATATATATATATATATATATATATAATATATATCAAATATAACTGATTGCAGTTCTATTCTAGTGACAGAAATATTCTTTCTTGCTCAAAATAAGTGGATATCGTTCATGAGAGATATAGACCTATTTAAACAAATCTCTTTTAAATTCCCGCGATGATATCTGGCACATTCCGAAAATTACGTATTAGCAACTGATAGGCTGAAGGGCTGGGCGGTCCCCGCCAAAGTTCATTTATATGAAGGGTTTTAAGGATTTTAACAGCAGGTCGCTGACTGTAGATCAGTTCCGGCTTTGGCAACAATTTTCCAGTCAAATTTTCAGAAACTTTTCCCGCGAACTTTAAAAACACTCTGATCTCAGCACCCACAGAAGTACGAGTAATGGACCTGACATCAGCCTGCTGCTCTGTGATTTTCACCTGCCTTCTCTCGGCTGTTTCTTCAAGTGAGTTCAACTGATATTTTGTTTTTTACACTGTAACTACACACTCATAACACACTGCGATCCACTGTAACTGTAACACTGACAACACACTGTGGTGGCAGAGATGGATCAGTGGGGTGCTTGTGTTATGATCGGAAGGTCGGGGCTTCACCGCCCCTGAGGTATCCCTGAGTAAGGTACCGTCCGTACACACTGCGCTGGACTGGTGGCTGCTCGCTGCTTCACTGACTGAATGTGTTAAATGCAGCGGACTCATTTCCTACTGGACTAACAGCAGCCCGCTGTCACTGTGAGCAGGACACAAATGTGTGAAACAAACTCCACATCTGTGCTGATGTTCGCTCAGTGTTGTACTTACTCTGAAGAGTCCCGCACGGGGGGGTTGACGTCAGAGAAGGGGGCGGGGGTTTCCGGAAGCTTCTTAAGCAGAGCAGAGGCCTGGTCCTCTCCCGGTCCTACTTCTTCTAAGTCGTCTGGATATCCTCGTTAAACCTTCTAACAATGCAGAGTTTTCGCTCGGAAGTTGTTTCTACCATCTCTTTAAGGGCTGAGGTAAAACGAAACTTTATAAACTAGAAAATCCGTCAGAAGAAGGAGCGAGTAAACGCAACGCTGTCACAAACGAGCCCGAGGTTTTGCTGCTAGTCTAAAAAAGGGTTGTACTTCCTGTCCCAGTGAGCAGGAGGAAACTGTCTGAATCGCTTCACATTTACATGGAAATGATCATTAATGCTGAAGCCGTGTGGGTATCAGTCACGGACCGGTCTCCCCTCGTGTGTTTTTCTATTAAGATCAGGATCATTGCCTGAAAAATGATGATGTTACCGATCAGATTCTTTCATGGTGGATCAAAATCTGATCTCCTCTGTGTTCATAATTTCATCCATTCAGACAAGATCAACAACACTGACTGACACGCAACTCCAAAAACTAACAGAGCCTCCATGGTGTTTCACAGATGGCTTCAAAAATGTACAATTTGATTCATCATTTAAACCTTTAACCTCTCTAATCTGTGTCGTTTCCTCTTTCAGTCCAGGAAAACATCATAGCTGTGTCCAAACAGAAGACCATTCTGACATGTCGAGCTTCAAACGACAACAACATCTTAGCTGTAAAGTGGAGCAGAGTTGACCAGAAGGAGGGATATGTCTTTTTGTACCAGGATGGGCACGTTATTCCAGATTATCAGGATTCATCTTTTAAGAACCGGGTGGATCTGCAGGGAAGACATAAGAAGGATGGAGACGTGTCTCTGATTCTGAAGGATGTCACAACTGCAGATGCTGGAACATACAAGTGTCATGTTGCCCAGAAATCAGGGGAACCTATGAGCCTCATCACCACCATAAACCTGAGTGTTGTTGATCCTCCAGGTGAGTGAGTAGAGTTGAGTGTGTGTGTGATCAGAGGTGAAGCTGCTTCCTGGTTGTTGATGTTTGTTTCTAAAGATGTTGTTGATGAGACTTTGTAGAAAGCATCTGGTCTGAGTGATGTGATCAGAGTGCAGTAGATAATGTCTGACAGCAGTTTGAAGAGGAAATGGATTCTGTTCTGTTCTTCACTCATCACCTACCTGACAGCTGACACCTCACACCTGTTTCTCACCTGCAGGTCAGACAGGAGGACACACAGAGGCTGGAGGGAAGGAGGCAGAAGAGAAGGAAGCAGGAGGGAAGGAGGATGAATCTTTTGGACTGAAAGTTGGTCTTCCTGTTGGTGTTATTGTTGCTGCTGTTGTTGTTGTTGGTGGTGTTTTAATCTACAGGAAACTTAAACCACAGAGTCAGGGTTCATACCAGCCTCCAGCTGAACAGCAGCCTGTTTGAAATGTGAAAATAAGATTTTCACAAGTTATTAAATGTTATTTTTGTTTGGTGCAAAACATCGACAAACAGTCCAACAGAGAAACAGAGTCAGGATTCGCCTCCTTGAACTCTCTCAGAGGGCTTCCAGCTGATCTGAGTCTCCTGCTGCTGTTCCAGCTTCTCAGAGCAGAGACAGACGAGGACATCCTGGATTTGTTGTTCAGCATCTTTGTGAACGATTTCATCACATTGTGTTGAACAGTTTTAAAGATGGATTCATTCCAAAAGAAGATTGAACTAATGTCGTACATTTCCTTCTTTTTCTTTAGTTTGCTTGAATTTCAGACGTGTCCTGTTTCTGCTGTATGTGTAGCTGTTAGCTCATGACCTCTGCTCCTGCTGAGCTGAAGCCTCAGACTGTTTCTGTAGTTTAAATAGACATCTATAATATATATTTGTATATATTAAATTACACGGAGCTTTTATTTATTTCTGTTTATTTATACACTTTTAAAATTATTCCTGGTACAGATTTTATTGTTTTACGTTATTATTGATGAAAAAATGAGTTGGTTTTTGTATACATGAATTCTCTTTTATAAAAAATATTTTCTAACCTGTATTCCAAAACGTTGGTTCTGTTCGTCTGGACGTAGCTTGTAAATGTCCTGTTTATAAGGTTGGGGAAACCTGCAGTCACTTGGATGAGTGACGAAACGTTTCTCCCACTGAAAACACTACGTCCAGGTGAACAGAGTCAACTTTTGGAGATTTACTTACCTGGATGATTGAACATGCATCAAGGCCCTTTCTCACCTGTACAGTCTGTTTTTGTTCTGTAAATAAATTTTCTTAACCTGAATGTTGTTTCCTGTTGCTTCATGAGTAAATCTGAAATGAAACTGAATAATCTGAGCTGGAATCAGTCAAAAGTGAGTTTGTGTGAAATCATCTTTGCTTCTGCTTTTAAAGTGAGTTTTTTTCCCCAACTATCGCCATCTGGTGGCCTTCAGAGAGAATGCAGGCGTCCATGTTTTATACTGTGTCTACAATGTATCAGTGTGGTGCTATTAGTATAAGGTGGGATGTAGATTTTGTTACATTGTACCACAAACACCCACAAACTACACACATCAATAGGCAGGTCATGTACTTACATTCATGCTGTGCTACAAACCCCTCAAAGTGCTTTTAATTAACCACACATTCATAAAGCAGCTTATTCTGGGCACTGAGTGCTGTTGGCTGCTCACAGAGAGGATACAGGTCTCCTGTCACCAAACCTCTGCTGTCATGTGGCAAAGCAGATGTTAGTTTTTAGATGTACTCACACACAAACAGTTTGGTGCAATTAAGTTGTGAAGACAAGACTTTTCTGTTCATAACTCAGCTGTCACCAGCAGAGGGAGGAGTCGAGGCAACAGCTGATCTAGAGAAATCTTCTCAGGGTAGCAAAATCAAAGTCATTTCTTTACACATATTACAGAATGTAACATCTGCATATGTATCATATACATGGTTAAAATACATGAAATATACTTGCTGCCTACTTTATATAAAAAAAAACTTTATTGTTTTCTTTAACACTCATAATTAAATATTTCACTTAAATAAAAAAGGTGAACTGTTTAGCTTATATGATAAATAAACATACAATGCAGAAAGCTACACAACATGAGGCGGTTCATTTACAAACACTAGTCTAACTTAAGTTTCACACTCTGTTACACAATACTAACCTGATCTGCTTCTGTTGTTATAGACTGTATATGGTTCCCACTGGTCTGACATTTCTCTTTAACTTTACTTTTACAGCTTTCAAACTGTGCTTTACCTTCTTTGTTATCTTTATTTTTTTAGCAAACTATTTTTTATTAACATTCTTTATTAACACAACTGATCTAAAAAAAACAAAACAAAACATAAAAACCTACTGGGGAAAAGTTATTTTTTACTGTAAAAACCTCAGCTGTGTTTATTGGTGGTGGTAGGTAACGTCCGTGCTGCATTCACATCTTCTAGTAGATCTTCTGAGGGTACTTCATGTAGATTTGGTAACCAGCTACACTGGATCCAGGTTTCAAGCTCAGTTCCTCTTGCACTCAACGATCCTTCTTCTACTGCACTTGGGGCTTTGTACCCAATCTCGGGTGGGGGTGATGATATGTCCCCCCTGACCTGGCGTCCTGGCTCCTCCTTGCCGTAGCATTTGTGTTGTACCTCATCAATCTCTAGCTGTGCGAGCAGTTCCTTCTTTCGAATGTTGGAACACTGAGCTACTGGTTGTTTCACCATCCATGTGGATGTTGGGTATCGAAGAACCCATAGGTCCCTCATCCTGTCCATGTACCTCCTTCTGCTGGGGTTACTTGTGTAGTAGCGTTCTAACAACACCCTGTTTTCATCTCTTGCACACCAATGTCTTCTTGTCCAGTAGCCACTTCTCATCAGGGTGTCCTGGTTCAAATTTGTGAGATGCTTGTTTTAGTGTCACACCAGTCCATGATTTCACTTCTCTAATCATTCCTCACATGCTCCATGATGTCCTCTTATAATAAAACATCAGACTAAACCAAGTCTGCAACTCTTGAGGTCAAAAATGTCCTCCTGTGTCCAAACTATGCTCATAAAGCACGCTGTCACATGCTTTCAATTTTATATAAACCCTCCTACAAAGCATGAATGTTAACAGTAAATGTGCACGACAAACACATAGAAGCACTCAGAAACCATCTAGATAACTTTTATGTCAAAGGTCATGGGACATAAAATCATTGTGCATCATCTTATAATAAAAACATTTAAAAAGTTTGCTGACTTTATGCAAAAAATAAGGTTTCAAATTCTCCTGCAGATTGAAAATCAAATCAACCTTATGCAAAAGTTCAATAAGGAAGATCTGTAGTTACACATCTGTCTGCTTTCCAGGTGTTGGCACTGCTTTTCAAAATGGTGATAATGTGACAGACATCACATCTTCTTAAGATATCACACACAGAAACAGTGAAGGGCAGAAGGTTTGATCATCTTAAAGAACTGAAATAAACTGAATAAAGAGGGCGAGCTGTTAAAGGAGTCCTCTGCGGTTTCTATATTCCAGCTGTGGCCACAGCTGTTTAACCTCTGCATCCTCTATCAGCTGTCCTCCAGATGCATTTTAGGACCTGAGACATACTTCCAGCTTCCAGGTATGTAAAGTACATCCTTACCAGAAGCTCGGGTCTCAGAAGGAAACTTACAGTCTGTTTGTTCTACTGTAACATTAAAGGTCAAAGGTCACATGAAAACTGTCATGCATTGGGAAAACTAATGCTCCACTGCTGCCATCTGCTGGTTGCTATCATGAAGTGACTGATCTTCCCATTTTCACACAGTGCATATATTCGGCGGCCACTTTATTAGGTATACCTGGCTAGTCCCATGTTGGGCCCCTTTTTGGCTTCTGAGCCGTTTTCATTCTTCATGGCACTGATTCAACAAGCTACTGGAAACATTCCTCACAGATTCTGGTCCATATTAAAATGACTGCATCACACAGCTGCTGCAGAATTTTCAATGATGTGAATCTCTTGTTAAAACCACCTGTTGGACTGAGATCTGGTGACTGTGGAGGTCATTGGAGTATTTCAGTGAACTTGTTGTCACGTTCAAGAAGTTACATTAGTTACATGGCGCTTTATCCTGCAGGAATCAGCCTCCAGACGACACTGTGGTTATAAAGTGATGCACACAGTCAGTTAGAATACTTCAAGCAGGCTGTGGTGTTTAAACAATCCTCAGTATGGGGTCCAAAGTGTGCCATTAAAATATCCCCCACTACACCACCAGCACCCGGTTCTCCCTTCTGCAGAAGCAACAGGATCATGCTTCTGCAAAACTCCTCTGTGATCTGTGTTGTAACTCTGAACTTATCCATATGATCCTGTTTCTGATTGAATTCTCTAAAAAGTTAAATTTTCAACAGATTCTGGTTTATGTGAGTCATCTTCTTCCTTTTCGGAGCGGAATGTCAGGGATATAAAAAGGTTCTCAACTTCACTGGATCCACTTCATCATGTCTGCATGCCAATCGGTAGTGATTTGACACACACGCACAATGACTAATCAATGGTCATGAGAATTTGCACAATTATGATGAAGAAAAAGACCTCCCTGCCCATTGTTCCTTCAGTGATTCTAGTTTCAGTCATTATGCAAATGTACTGTTTATGTACTGTTTATAAGATTTGGGGAAACCTGCAGTCAGCTGAGACTGAAGAAGTCACTTGGATGAGTGACGAAACATTTCTCCCACTGAAAACACCACGTCCAGATGAACAGAATCAACTTAATTATAGAAGTTTGTTTTTACAGTACTCAAAGAGAACAGTCACAGAGCAAACATGTTGCTGCAAACACCAAAATGTCTACAAATAATTTATTACAGATTTGTAATAAGATTTTCTTCAACTTTATCTAGTAGCTGAATTTTGTTTAACCCTTTTTTATTCATGGATTTTCAACAATGATTTCCTGAATCTTTCTGTCAAACACTAGTTTAATTTCTCTACACTAGCAGAAAAGCCAAAGACTGTACAAACATGGCTTCTGCCTGACTCAAGGAATTAAGCTTAGACTTTGAATTTGAGAGGACTGTTGTGAAAAACAAAAACACACCATCATTTACCATTGTTCACGTTTTTATTCTGAAAGGCCTGGTGAAGAATTTTCTATTAAGTATGAAAGATAAATTAATTTTTTATGGCACCATCTTCTTCTTCTGCTTCTTTATTAAAGAAAGAAGAATATCTCTCCATTTGAACTTTCTGGCCCTCAGTGGTTGTATGAGATTTCATTTCATGTTCATCTCCTTTGTGAGGAGAACAAACATAATATAAATATATAGAATTTAAATATAAATGTGAGAACCAGTTAGAGAGCAGCAGCTGGATTCCTGTTGTTGGACTGGTGGACGACTGCTGGGCTGAGCAGAGCCTCTCTGTTCTCTTTATATACAGCAAAGTGAAAGAATAAGGACATGTCAGTGAACGCATCACAGTTATAACACAACTTTCTGTTTTGGGTCACATAAATGTTGAACTTTGGACACATTTTCTGCTGCTGCATGAGCAGTACATGACAAGTATCAGATCACACAGCATCTGCAGAGACGAGCAGCGTTGTTTCTGATACGTTTTAACCACAACTTGGCTCGGAGTGAAATCTAAATACTGCTGCACTCACTCTGAACCCTGATGAAGAAAGAGGAGGAGTCCCTGGAGCAGAACCAGGAAACACTGAAGAGATTATATGTCTCAGCTGGCTGGAAACTCCTGTTCCCTTGGAAAGGCTGGAGGAGGCGGCCTGGGAGAGGGAGGTCTGGTCTGTTTTTAGGCTGCTGCCCCACTGACCCGGCTGTGGATAAGCTCACATTTTACTAGAATGAGGATGTGTGCGCACTTTTTTTCCTACTCTCTCACTTTGAACTTGAGTTTGTTTGTTTTAACTTCTTTTCCTTTCTTTTTCTGTTCATAGTAAAGGAAAAGTTCAATTCTGATTAACAGCTTTTTCATCTTTGTACTAAAAGATCAACAGCTGTACCTCTGTGGTCTTTGACTGTTATCTTGTGTTAGATGATGATGTCATCCATAAGTGACGTCTCCCCTGTCTGAAACACACACAGAGGACATCGGTGCAGACAGTGCAGTCCTGTCACTGACATAACCTCACAAGTATCAACAACACAAAAATAAATCACATTAATTATAGAAGTTTATTTTTACAGTACTCACAGATTTAATTTAATTTTAATTTAATTTAATTTATTACAGATTTGTAATAAGATTTGCTTCAACTTTATTTAGTCGCTGAATTTTGTTTAACCCTTTTTTATTTATGGATTTTTACTGACTTTTACTGACTGACTTTACTGACTCAAGGAATTAAGCTTAAAGTTTAAATTTGAGAGGACTGTGGTGAAAAAACAAACAAACAAAAACAAACCATCGTTCACTGTAAAGGTCGCCAGAGTTTAAAGAACTGTATGGATTCTGTAAATCTCACAGTTAAAGCCTGCTTGCTGTGTTTCCTGGGTTTCTGAGCAATGATGAGAAACCTGCAGTCTGTCCTCTCACTTTCATTCAGGAAGAGCAGAGCAGAGCCAGGAAGAGGAGCTGAGGAAGGCAGGAAGAAGGAGCTTGGCTGAGAACATGGACTATGTTTAGGTGTGAGCACTACAGCTGCAGCACAGCTGTGGACTCCACCCTGATGATTGTTTGAGTGAGTGAATTTTCTCTGTTTAGTTTGCTATTTAAACATGTTTGAGTGATTTGTTGCCTCTGATTGGCAGCTGAAAACTATGTGAAAAATGATTGCATATTTGATAGTGGATCCTTCTTTAGCCAGGTTTGTCACACAGTTTCTTCTTATTCAGCATTTAAACAGACAGATCTGTGTCTACAGTTTGAAACAACCTCACACTGAAAAAAGTGTGAAATGTGGAGCACTGCTTTCAAATGAAAAGCCTCATATTTTTACATGTTACGTTATTATTATTATGTGTTTGATCTGGGGTCAGCCGGTACTAGAAATTGGCGATATATATGATTGAATTGAATGTATCCTCACCTAAACCTCAGACGTTATAAACATCAATACTAACTTGTATTGGTACCTGATTATTACCAATACAACGGAGGCTCAGGCATGTCTGTACGTGTCCGGTGGCCTGCTGTTTCCTGTCCCTGTGCGCGTGTGTCTCTGCGCGCGTGTGTTTTCTCTCTTGCTGTATGAGCATGCGGGGTTTTGCAAGAGTAGCATGATTGCAGTTTCCATGGTGAAATCAATGTTTACTTTCATGTTTATGTTTCACGTCTTTGGGCTGAAAAACACAAGACGGACATTCCCACAGCAGCTTTCTGTCTGTGCGTGGGAGGGGGGTGAAAACAATAACTCAATAAAAACTCCATTCAAAAAAGTAAAATTCAGATTTTTTTCAGGATTTTCGAAATGTTTTATGTAGTTTTAAAAATAAGTAAAGTGATTCAAAATCAAATTAGGGATCATATTTTATGTTTGCAATTAAAATTTACTTACTTCTTTTGTCTTTGCAGTTTACTTTCCTTTTATTGGTTCTGCTGAGTCATTGGACGTTCCAGTAGAAACAACGGACGGAGGAATGTGAGCTATGCAGCTCTCTGATTGGTTGGAGAGAGAGCGCGTCACCAGAGTTACTTACGCTCTAGTGTCTTGTTGCGCTGCAGAGTACAGGCTGTTGTTCCTGCACGTGGCGTGTTATTCACACTTGTAAAATCTCCAGCTGTGACATATGAAGAATAAGACGTGACAGTAGAGCGACACAGAGTCTTTATCCTCACAGTGCAGCGGTGGATTCAGCCTGTTTAAGGTAACTAACAATGCTAATGCTGTCAGACAGCACTGAGCTGTTACATTCATACACAGTGTCTTTAAAATAGTGATTAAAACGCTGCCTGTAAACAAAGTGCCATCAGACAGGATGCCATCACTAAACTTTCAAACACATCAGATTAAAATGAGCTGACAGCAAATCGTTCCTTGTATTACTGCACAAGGAAAAGATTGGAGATGACAAAATGATTTAATGGATTTTGTTTTCATTACACGTGTGCACACTTTCAATCTGAATGACGACATAAATGGTGATAGTAGTGTGTGTGTGTGTGTTAAGAAGCCATTTGTGTCTGTGTGCTAACAACTATGTGCTAACCAGATTATTTCCCATTTAAAGAAACAAACAAAAGAACAACATGCATTAAATTATTCCATTGTAAGAATCTGATCCATAGTTCTCACTTTGCAAAGGCAGTCTGATTACAGCACTAATTGACATGTTATAATACGTCTTTTTACAATCTCCACCTGATCACCATCCAGCAGGAGGAGCAGTGAGTCCTGAGGCTGTGCTACCAACCAGGATTTCATCTGATCCAGGTAACTTCAGGGTCTCTGTACTGCTGGGGTAAATCACCACGGTAACTTAATCAGATTAGAGATCAACAATACTGTAGTTTAGCTTTTTCTCTCACGCTGCTGATTTTGTATAAAATACACAACATATATTTTAACTTTACTTACTCAGTAAACCCTGGTTAAACTTAACAAACTGAGCTTTGTGTGACTGCTTATTCTGAACAACAGTGTTGGGGTAAGATACTCTGGGTGTGCTGAACTCACTACAGATTTTACCTCAGATGTGTAACTTCTGACTCATAAATGCGTGTTTCAATCTATGCAGTGTTTCAAAATTCAAATCAATTTGACCACAAGCAAAAACCATTTTACTAATGTCTACGTAATTTACACACAATTTACTTTCAGTTTCACAAGTCTGATAATTTTCTTGCTTCCTGTGAGAACAGATGTCTAAAAATATGTGACTCTATTTTTAACTGATGTGCAGAACCTTAAATGTGTGATGAAATCACCTGAGACACAGAGATGCCCACATTTCTGCTACTGTTAGCACTTTGTGCTCTCATCTAACATGTGATATCCTGTCATATCAGGTAATTCCTTCACACATTTGCTGAACATAAACATTTTGGAGGGTAAATAATCACTATTCACTGTTGGACGTACACATTTGTAAATCTTAGTTTATGTTTGTGGATCATATCAGAAGCTTTGGTAAAACAAACATCTTGTGTATTTTCAGTTGACTCAGCTTCTCTTTTAAACTATGTAACACTCATGAATTTGGGATCTGCAGGACAACCTGAGATGGATACTTGCAAATCTGTGATATTCTGCTGGATTCTGCTCGTCTGCTTTTCACCGGCTGCATATACAGGTGAGACCAGCAGGTATCACTGTGTCTACTGCTGGGAACTGAATTGCTTTCATTGTCACTTTATATATATATATACAATTTAGATTATTACATTCAAAATAATTATAAAGCTCATTCACACCACGTTCACATGTATCAGCAGCACATTTGGTCTGCTGATAGAAGGAGGGACAGAGGGAAGTACTGAATAGTTGTTGCTGAGCAGTGATGTTTCATGGGATGATGACACAGCAGACTTTTCCCATAGTTACTCACACACATATTATGTGAAAATTGTAAAGAATGACCAAAAGGTAACAAAAATAGTACCAATAATCTTGATGATGATAGAAATAAGAGACAGGTTTGTATAATAATTCAGAGGCTGTCCACCTTCATAGTAATCAGATAACGAGTCAACCATTTAAAGTGATCAGTGTTTGCCGTCCTGTAGCTGTGAGCTCATCTCCTGGTAAAGATGACGAAGATGATGCTCAGTGTGGTGAACGCTTTCATCAGAGCTCTGATCTTTGATCTTCGCTGATCCTGGTTTCTTCTGTGTGTAACCTGAACGAGGGACAAGTGCTGCCAACACAGTATTAATGTGTGCTGTTTAAGTTGTTATTGTTTATGACAGCATTTTATAATGACTGTAAGTACATTTATCATTTTCCACACACTCCCAGCTCCAGCAGACTGTGAACACTAGTTGTTGATATAGATTAGATATATAGATATATATATAGATATAGATATAGATATATAGATATAAATTTGTTATTCCCAGAAGTTTGCAGCTCTAATGTGGATAAAATTCCTCTCAGGTGAAAATAGTGGACACATATTAGCATTAAGGACGTGTCTTAAATGTAATTAATCAGTTTGTATACAGCGAGTGCAGAATTATTAGGCAAGTTGTATTCACTCAAAAGCCTGCCATCCATGGATTCTGTCAGTGTTTTGATCTGTTCACCATCAACATTGCGTGCAGCAGCAACCACAGCCTCCCAGACACTGTTCAGAGAGGTGTACTGTTTTCCCTCCTTGTAAATCTCACATTTGATGATGGACCACAGGTTCTCAATGGGGATCAGATCAGGTGAACAAGGAGGCCATGTCATTAGTTTTTCTTCTTTTATACCCTTTCTTGCCAGCCACGCTGTGGAGTACTTGGACGCGTGTGATGGAGCATTGTCCTGCATGAAAATCATGTTTTTCTTGAAGGATGCAGACTTCTTCCTGTACCACTGCTTGAAGAAGGTGTCTTCCAGAAACTGGCAGTAGGACTGGGAGTTGAGCTTGACTCCATCCTCAACCCGAAAAGGCCCTACAAGCTCATCTTTGATGATACCAGCCCAAACCAGTACTCCACCTCCACCTTGCTGGCGTCTGAGTCGGACTGGAGCTCTCTGCCCTTTACCAATCCAGCCACGGGCCCATCCATCTGGCCCATCAAGACTCACTCTCATTTCATCAGTCCATAAAACCTTAGAAAAACCAGTCTTGAGATATTTCTTGGCCCAGTCTTGACGTTTCAGCTTGTGTGTCTTGTTCAGTGGTGGTCGTCTTTCAGCCTTTCTTACCTTGGCCATGTCTCTGAGTATTGCACACCTTGTGCTTTTGGGCACTCCAGTGATGTTGCAGCTCTGAAATATGGCCAAACTGGTGGCAAGTGGCATCTTGGCAGCTGCACGCTTGACTTTTCTCAGTTCATGGGCAGTTATTTTGCGCCTTGGTTTTTCCACACGCTTCTTGCGACCCTGTTGACTATTTTGAATCAAACGCTTGATTGTTCGATGATCACGCTTCAGAAGCTTTGCAATTTTGAGACTGCTGCATCCCTCTGCAAGATATCTCACTATTTTTGGCTTTTCTGAGCCTGTCAAGTCCTTCTTTTGACCCATTTTGCCAAAGGAAAGGACGTTGCCTAATAATTATGCACACCTGATATAGGGTGTTGATGTCATTAGACCACACCCCTTCTTATTACAGAGATGCACATCACCTAATATGCTTAATTGGTAGTAGGCTTTCGAGCCTATACAGCTTGGAGTAAGACAACATGCATGAAGAGGATGATGTGGACAAAATACTCATTTGCAGTGAGGGAACTGTGGCTCAGGTTTGAGGGTCAACCATCATCAACCAGAGCACAGTGGTCTCTGATCATCTTTCTGATTGGCTGCTGTACCAGTCAACAGTTTAAACTTTGACCTTTAACCTCTCTGCTGTGTTGTTTCCTCTTTCAGACCAGAAAAACATCACAGCTGAGTCTGGACATGACGTCACTCTGACATGTCGAGCTCCAAACAACAACATCATTGTTGTTGTAGAGTGGAGCAGAGCTGATCTGAAGGAAGATTATGTCCTCTTGTACCGGGATGAGCAGATTGATCCAGAACAGCAGCATCCATCTTTTATGAACCGGGTGGATCTGCAGGACAGACAGATGAAGGATGGAGACGTGTCTTTGATTCTGAAGAATGTGACGACTGCTGATAATGGAACATATGAGTGTCGTGTCTTCATGAGAGGAGCAAACCGCAGGAAGAGAGCTCATCTGAAGACTAAGCCAATCACCACCATCAGCTTAAATGTTTCTCCAGGTGAGTGGTGAAAAGAGGTGAAGCTGCTTCCTGCTTGTTGATGTTTGTTTCTAAAGATGTTGTTGATGAGACTTTGTAGAAAGCAGCTGGTCTGAGTGATGTGATCAGAGTGCAGTAGATAATGTCTGACAGCAGTTTGAAGAGGAAATGGATTCTGTTCTGTTCTTCACTCATCACCTACCTGACAGCTGACACCTCACACCTGTTTCTCACCTGCAGGTAAGACAGGAGGACTCACAGAGGATGGAGGGAAGGAGGATGGAGGGAAGGAGGATGGAGTTGGTAGGAATCATCATGGTGGACCGGTAGTTTTTGGTTTGCTACTTGCTGTGATCATTGTTGTGGTTGCTGTTGTGATCTTTAAACAGTAGAAGAAGGCTCTTCCTCTTCATGATGAAGAAGTAAAGCAAAGAAGGAGATGATCTGAAAGCACCATGAGAGGAGAGAGAGCGAACACATTAAAAACAATATAAAAAAGATAGATAGATAGATAGATAGATAGATAGATAGATAGATAGATAGATAGATAGATAGATAGATAGATGAGGTTCCTTCATGAGGAGAACAAACAGAATATAAACCAGTGTGTTTACAGTGAATGTGTCAGGTCTGAGCTGCTGTGTGGACCAGTTAGAGAGCAGCAGCTGGATTCCAGTGGTTGGACTGGTGGACGACTTCAGTGAGGAGTAGATGACATTTGGCTCTGGTAGAAACTCTGCACACACAAACACAGCAGCTGTCCTTCCCATTTCTTTCACTTTTTTTTCTTATTTTCACTCTGAAAGATGAAAAATAGGAAAGTTAAACAAGTGGACAGACTTTAGTTTGTATTTTGATTCAGGGACGGGGGTGAGGAAGAGCAGCAAGCAGGACTCTGACTGACTTGTTTGACTGAAAGTGAATTTGTTTAATTTAATATCAGAACATGTTTGAGTTACATTTCATTACATCAGGTAACAGCTCCACACCGTCTGATAAGTTTAGGTTACTCGTACTCAGTGTTGGGTAAGTTACTTTAAAATAGTAACTTAGTTACATTACTAGTTACTTCTCTCAAAAGTAACTCAGTTACTTCAAGTTACTCGGTACTTTCAAAGTAACTAGTTACTAGGGAAAGTAACTTTGGTTTTACTCAGAATTCTCTTGTTAATGTGTTGCTTCCATAACTTTGCCAGTCTTCTAGCTTGTTTACTTGCCACAGGTGCACTGTGCCACCTACCAATAGAAAGGAAAAGATAATGTGCATATTTCCACGAGAGAAATCCCACGCCTGGACCGTCATTGACTGCTGCCATGATTCTAGCCTACGTCACAGCGTCATGTGCGCCTTTTACATCCAACACAAAAACTGCAGTCGTGGTGCTTTCGATTGTACTCAGAACTCGGAAATTCTGCCTTCTGAATAGGAAGATGTAGGTAACACCAGACTGCACATGAGCTGCATACATGGCTGGACTGGGACAGAAAATTGGCCCGGACATTTTGACTAGAGACCGGCCCACCATTATAGGAAAAATCATAAAGCCTTTGAATGAAAACAAACGCTGTTGTGACAGTGATGTACACTGTTCTGATGGTATATATGCATCAATCTATCAATCGTTTGTTGTAAGATTCAGATAATTATTTTTTAAAAGCTAGACATTTTAAATGAGAATAAGAAAGAAAAGTATTTCCTTGTGCCCCCCTTTCCCTGTTAATGCTCTACCTGCCCCCCTGGCAACACTTTGCTAGATCCGCACCTGCACAGTTACCAGCTGTCAGCTACCTAAAAAAGGATCCTGGTGTTATTTGTCTCTCAGAAACAGTTCATAACTTCTCTTCAACTCATTCATGTCACCTAAAAGGTAAACCTGTTTCTCCATCACAGCACTGATGATTCAGTGTTGGGGGAAAACTCTGTAAAAAACCCAGGAGAAATAAAGACACAATGAGACAAGGTTTCTTTTTATGCTTTAACGTGCGCACGGGTGAGCTGCTGAGAACAACTCACACCATGCACAGTGGCTTGGCATTTTTTATAGGCACAGAGCACAGAGACAGTGAGAACAGGATAAGAAAATAATAAACAGAAAAAGTAAAACAACTCCATATATGGTTCTAGTCTAGTCAGCAGAGAGCTGGGAGAAAGATAAAACAATCTGAAACAATATGTCCTTGCTGGGAAAATCTGAAAGACACTTCTAAACTACTTATCTTAAACACAGCTTGTACATTTAAAAGAAGGTAAAGTTACATAGAATAATTTTTCCTCTAACATTCAGTAAGGACATCTCCTGGTTTCATCTTCATGTTTCCCTCTCACCAGATAACCAAACCGACATCATGACCAGCAGCTTTACAGCTGTGGCTCCAGCAAACATCAGCTGATACTAGAAATTAATATTAAATAAATTCTAACAACAGCTGATCAAGCTTAAACGTGCTGCTGTTGTTTAGCGCAACATCCGCTGGTTTCCTCTTTCGGCGCAAAGTGGGCGATAAACAAACAAGAGAGAAAAGACGAAAAGCTGATCATTGATCAGTTTTCATGATTGAAGTAGAAACAGGAGAGGGAGGGGGGAGAGAATGAGAGAAGAAGAGGCAGCTGTGCAGCAAAGACACAGAATAACTCTAGCTTTGTGCCTTTTTCATTGTAGCTGAATTACAGGACAAACTGTTCCTTTTCACCTCAATAAGAAACGCATAATATTTTCTCTGAATACCAGACGGGACGGTTGGCAACTCTAATAACTTATGAACAAAATAAAGTTCAACATCATTAACTTCATAGCACCCACCCAGCTGTATAGAAACTCCGTCATGCTAGCTAGCACGCAGTACGGAAAAAGTCAGAATAACGAAAATAAACTCCACCTAAGCTTGGTTTATATCTGACCCAGAGAGACTGCAGGTCATAACTTCTTACCTGAAGTTCAGTTCACACGTGGACCGGCGGCCGCCTCGGGTCTCTTTTCCTTCTGCGTCCCTTTTCCTTCATCCACCTGCTGGCCTCCACCACCTGCTAATGTTACTGAATCTGTGGAAGCTCCGCGATGCCACCACACGAAGTAACGAATAACGAGCCTATCTAAATCCCAGTAACGAGTAACGCGTTCCTGATTTTGGCATAATAACTAGTTACCGTGCTCGTTACCACAATAATAACGTAGTTACTGTAAAGCGTTATTTAATAACGCGTTAGTCCCAACACTGCTCGTACTAGAGACCATATCAGAATCAGAATCGTGTTTATTGGCCAAGTATATGTGCAGACACATACAGGGAATTTGGTTCCGGTAGATGGTGGCTCTCAAGCACAGCAATGTAAATCTCACACACACAAGTGTCTATATATACACATTACACACACATACACAAAGCTATGTAAACCAACTATAAATAACGAATCTAAACTTATATACATAAAATACAGAAATGAATGAGGTGGAATGAATACTACAAAATGTACATAAGGTGCAGTTGCAGTCTGGCAGTGGGAGCAGTGTGACAGGTCAACTGTTAAGAAGGGAGATGGCGAGGGGAAAGAAACTGTTCCTGTTTCGGGTGGTCCTGGTCTGCATATCATCCCAATTCTTCAACAGCTGGTTGACCATAGAAGCCAGGATAAACTTTAAAATGTTAGAATGTTAAAAAATCTTTTACGTTTCTTTTTCCATTTTAGGGTTTTGTTTCTCTTTATTGTAATTTACTATTCATTTATTTCCTTTTTTGCACCATTTGTTTTTTCACTTTTTATTATATTTAATCTGTCCTTATTACCGTTGTTATGTTATTTATAATTTCTTTTTCATCTCCTGTGTTTCTGTATGCTAAGTGAGTGCTGATCTCTGGGTGTGGGAGTGGGGATGGAGGGGTGATGAGAGGGCGTAGTGAAGGTGATGTATGTGTATTGTTTTCTGCTTCTAATGTGTACATCATTTTGAGTGTCTTCTTTACTGTATGAGAAGTACTATGTAAATAAAGTTTTGAGTGATATACTAAGACTTGAGGCATTTATACGCCAAGTACATTGCAAAAAAGTCACAAAACACAATTTTTAAACTTGCCCTGTAACGAATATACATGACAAACATGTTGTTTTGTGTAAAAATTTATGGTGAATTCAAACCCAAGACCTTGTTGCTGTGAGGCACCAGTGCCACCAACCAGTGGTGATAACAAAACCTGGAAACCAGCACCTCAGTCATGCAGAGCAAATGTTTTACATTCAGCCTGATCAGCACTGTTGACTCCTACATATTTCTTGCTGCTTTTTTGCCAGTTTTTGAATTTATCAGTGAGAATAACAATCATCTCCTCAGTGTAAAGAATATATTTTATTAATAATTTTAATACTAATCATAACCATTGCGAGGAAGTGTTCTGATAGCACAGTCACTGCTGTGAGGTAAAATGTGTTGGTTATGTACAGCCGGTAAAATAAGCATTAAACGTGTTACAAATTTTCTAAGTAAATATATTTATAAAAGTTCTTCTGACTTTTCACCAGATGTCAGTAACAACCCATCCAGTACACACATACATTTTTCTTGGCCCACGTTTGGCTGTGATATAGACACAGTGTGGATTGTTCAATGATTTTATGACTGATGGATGAGAAACTTATTTCTATTTAAAGCTGTACTGTACATATTTGTACATGTTTCTGTAATTAATTAATAAAATCAGTAATCAATAAAGTAACTGGATTATTTTTTGGGGGAAGTAATCAGTAATTAGTCACTGATTACTTCTGTAGTGCTCACACCTGAACATAGTCCTTGCAGGAAGAAGGAGCCTGGTGTTGTTGGACTAAAAACGTTTTTACACCCCTCCAATAGCCAAACCCATCTGTTCTCTGATTGGATTGTTAAATTTGTGATTGACATGACATTGACCAATCAGATGAAAGGAAGAAAAATAGGGTCAAAATTCGTACTTGTACACTACCTGAAACTTGAGTGCAGTTTTACACGAATCTTTTTTACGCACACACAAATTCTTTTTACAC